TTGTGAAGATCGACTGGAGATGTTTTGTTTTGTTGTTTGTGCTTCGTCCCTTTAAATCTTGAGGCAGTCACTGCAGAGCTGCTGGAAAGTTCGATCAGCCCAATTCTGCTGGAGCCATTGAGCGCCTCGGCTTTCAGAGGGCTTTTGTTAAAATGCGTTTGAGTGAATCTGTGTGTGAAGGTGTCAAACGGGCTCCATTACGGATCAAACAGTCAGTGAACCCTGAAACGTCCTGTAAAGAAAACCGATGCTGAAATGAGGAGGAGGTGCGAGCAGCGTGGAGAGACAGGGATGTGGGAGGGAATGATCTGTGATATTTTTAAAAGGGTGGAACAAGTGAAAAAAGAGGCTGTGTTGATCTGAAATAGAAGGAAAAGAGAGGTGTACGAGTGTCCTGTTGTCTGAAACGAGAAGTTTGCTCCCTTGTGCCCTCCTGCTGATGAATTCCTGTTTGGTGACCCTGGGGTCAAATCTGAAAGTCCCTCTGCTCATCTCTCCTGTCTTCTACTTCCTTCCTCCTAGATTTGCTTTAACCAGGACTCTGTCTGGACATTAAAGTCACATATAGATGCACTTTAACCTGTCAATAACAGCGGGTTAGTTAGTCATATGACATGCTCTCTTCCTTTGCATCCTGTGTCCTAATCTGTGGGTCAGTGTGGCTTGTGTTCCCTTTGTTCAAGCTGAAGTCCCACCTTCCTGTGTTTCTGATTTCCCAAAGCACAGATCTGAGACTGAATTTCTCAGTAAACAGCAATTCACCCATTATCTGTGAGCGTTAACATCCATCTCTAACCAGCTCCTGATATCATTATTTGCTGGTTAATCACATTCAAGTGTGGACTTCGGCACATTGTGCTTATTTCACACCCTGGACATGTTATCCTCATGGTCGTTTTTGTTTCGACACCTCTGTTGGGACATTTGTTCTTTAAATGTAGACCTCAAAATGTCAGGTCGGCTACTATGAACATGATTTTTAAGTAATTGGCATACAGATTATTGCGATTTAATAATTTAATTGTCTTTTTAGTTAAAGGAATAGTTTACCTAAAAAATGAAAATTACAATTTCTTTACCCTCAGGCCATCCAAAATGTAAATGAGAAATTAAGCCTTGCATTACTTGCTCAGCAATGGATCCTCTGCAGTGAATGGGTGCCGTCAGAATGAGAGTCCAAACAGCTGATAAAAACATCACAATAATCCACACCACTCCAGTCCATTAGTTAATGTCTTTTGAAATGAAAAGCTGCATGTTTGTAAGAAACAAATCCATCATCAAGATGTTTTAAGTTTAAACCATTGCTTCTGGCCAAAATATTAAAACTCTTGAGAACCACTGATAGACCATTATTCATTGAACATCAGGCACATTGTGATGTTTTCACTTTTGCTCTGTGGCACATTGAATAATTTAAAAGATGTTGTAAAACTGTTGTCAACGGCCTATAAAGCACATTTCATTAGTCAACAGAGAGCTTTTTAGTTCATTTGTTTTGTGCAACAATTAAAATTTAGCATCAAAATGACTGGTTCTATATAAATGCACTCCAGCATTGGTTGCATTTCTATAGCTTGAACTAGGGATGGGCGATATCTTATCGTTTGCGATATACCGGTAAAAATTCTACCCACGATAAGAATTGGTCTTCCTGCGATAATAACGATAAAGTCTAGTTGTTGACATATTTCTGTGTGCGACAGTGCGGAGCGACATCACGGAAAGCGGGCGTGAAATTGAGGAGGAGCAGCCTATATCGCTAAATGAGGAGCTCGAGCTGTAACTGGTTTGGTTAGGGCTGTACAGTGCACAAAAAAATCGGTCTGAATAAATGTACTACAGTAGCACGTGTGCGATACAGTTTTGCATGTGTTTACAAAACTGTTGTCCAACAAAGATATAATTTATTGACATGCTTTTTCTCCAAATTAACTTAATAACATAGTCGAGTGTTTGAAATACTACTTTTTGTGACCAGACGTGGTTTCATATTACAGAATGATAGTATTATATACAGTGATAAAGGCCATGTCGATTAACATTGCATTATAAATATACTTTCCTTATAAAAATACCCAAGATTGAAGAACACAGATAAACCATATATTTTGTGCAGTCTTATGTTTATTTTCCTCAAGTTTCATCAGTTAAAATGTCTCTACCTCTGTTGTGTGTTTTATTCAGTGATTAACTGGATACCTTCCTGGAGCATCGTCAGTAGTATTTCTTCTGCTATGGATAAGTTTCTGTGCAAGAGCGCCCTCCGGCTTCCAGTATGAATTAAAACAGTCTTTACATTACGTGTGAACTCATTAATGCTCACCCTATTTAATATAATACTTTTCTTAAAAGAAACAGGATTCCCTGAATTATCGTCATTGATATCGTTATCGTAATAAATACCAGAAATATCGTGATATATTTTAAAGCCCATATCGCCCATCCCTAGCTTGAACAATTGAAGTTAGTTGATTATGCAGCTATATATAATAGATTACAAACCATAGATGTGTCTGACTGGCATAATTGCAATGAATAATCAGATTTTTTTGTCTTTAGATGTAGTATTTATTTTGGATGCATATCTTGGATTCAAGATAAATTATTGCTGTAGCTGTACAAAAGCCATACAGCTGTGTGTATTTGTACATTGTGTCTAACTCTCTGGACACAGTACATAATGCATCATTCTTATGTTGCCGGCGCTGCACACAATGTGTTGATTATTGTCCTATTACTGGGATGCTGTATATGTGGCATTTCATTTAGTTGTTGACACAATGCTGTACATTTCACAGGCTCCCTTATTGTCTGTCTCCTTGTGCCATCGTGTTGTGCCACACCTAGGCCTGTATGTGTGTGTGTGTGTGTGTGTGTGTGTGTGTGTTCTTGAACTTTTGTACTGGCTCGTTCTGTATCTCAATTTCAATTTTCAATTTTTAAAATTGCCATGTTTGTATTTAAATACAATATTGCCAAAGTATTATACACAATACAAGTAATGACAAGAAAAATACATTTACAACATAACAAATTACAAAAAAAGTACTAAATAAGGTGCTAAGTAATGAATATAAATAAGATTGTGTGTGTGTGTGTGTGTGTGTGTGTGTTTGTCTTTATGAGCTGATCAAAGATGTGGTGACACATTACGTTTTACAGCTCTACCAACAATGCAGCCCTAACTTAGATAGAAACCAACAAATCAACAGATACCAGTCCTGTTTAACATCTGTGTGTCAGTGTTGTGATGTGCGTGTTTGTGTACATTGGCGTGGGATTGATGGTGTCTCGCAGGTTAAGTCAGTCCCATAGTGACGACCCTTTGTTTATTTTAGTGTCTTTTCTCAGTACCTGCTGTGACCCTCTCGGGGTCCACTGCATTGCCCACCATGTCTCGATTTTCCATTCCCAGATTCCTGATTTTCCATTCCCAGATTCCTGCTCAATGCTTTTCCCATACAGGCAGTAGAATGTTCCTGCATCAGTCCATTCTCGGTTCCATGCACAAATATAAGCACTCCTAAATCTAAATGGACATTTTCAACATCATAACAGCAGTTTTTCAAACACTGTCATTGTAAATGCACAACAGATCTGACCGACTGAGCTCGTTGCAGTGCATTCTGGGATTACCTTCTCCACAAGTGCATCTTATAAGGCAGCATAACGTTGCTGGGTTATGAATAGTCTCACGCTGTGAACAAGTCGCTTAGTTTTCTCACAGTTTCCTTTGAGCTCTGGGTTTGTAGTGGGAAGATGCTGTTTCTATGTAAAGACTGGTTGAGGCCTCTGGGACTCTGTGTTTGTTTGTTGTTGTGTTTTGTGGTGTGTTAATCATCCTCGCTCAGATGTGAGTGATTATTCTCCTTCCTTTAAACACATGCAGCTTTGTCTCCAGTCTCATTTAAGCCCGTTTCAGTCCTCATGTGTCATCCCGTCATGCCTCTTCATATTGTGATTAGTGTCAGGCTTTGAATGAGCGCCCCCCGCCTTACCCACAAGACCAGGTGTCTGTCATATCATTTGGGGTTTTTCTAATGCTCTCTCTCTGTTGATGTAGTCTGATATGTGTCTTTGAAAGGACTCTTTGATTATTACTCACATAAGGTTTGTGTCATTTCCTGTGAGTGAAAATAAAATATATAGACACTTGTCTTTTTTTTTTATATATATAGCATTGCCCTCTATGGTTGCAGGTACCAACACAAAAACAAATTGTGACTTTCCTAAAGTGGTTGTGTCAGATTCATTCTTAACTCATGAGTTATTGATCTGAATCGTTCAAATGACTCACTCAGTGAACTTCAGGTTATTCCTTTTTAAATGAGAAATTAGAATAATTAGTAAATAGGCTGGAAGAAGATATGGTTTAAAAATAAAATTAAATAATGAAAATTAATTCATCAATAATTGAATAAATCATAAATAT